TTAATAAATATTGTCAGTGAAGTAGGACATAGAGCAGGAGTTCTGAATGAATCCTGTGTAAGGGTACAGAGAAGGAGGAAATGAGAAGAAATGAGCTTACTAAAACTCATACCACTGACATCTGCATATACTAGATTTGTATTTTAATGCTCATTTATATATGCTTATTTGACAAGACATGGAATGCATCATTTAAGTTTTTACTAGTTGTATCATTCCACAGCCATTGACAGAGGAGTTTTCTATTTCTTGCACTGCTCTTAGGAGAAAGTCTTTCTGTTCTTTATATGCAGGAAAGCTACAGCTTTCTTCTAAAAGCTAATAGCTATATCTGGTTTTGTTCTTAGAAATTCAAGTTCCCCCAGGCTTTCCTCAGAGAGTCTTTTCTGTTGCTGGGTATGCCCTGTGCTTCAGTCTTTAGACAGAAGTGATGGCATTTTGTATGTTTAATATATCATATTATCAAACAGGATGATTGACTTTCAACACCATATGGTGAAATGGAGTCACTGGGTTGTATGAAGGGCAAAGTAATGCTTGCTAACATGGTCTGGTGTGGTGAATATATAGGACGAGCAGTAGAGCAGCTCCTTCTGGCTCTATTAAACTCTGTAACTCTGCTTGCCTAAAGCTTCTCTTGTGTCAATTTCCTTGAAAATGTGCAGTGAATTGATGGCATCGCTCAGAACGAATCAGCAGCTATAAGTTGGCTGCTCCCAGAAGAGCTCATGCATTAGGCTTCATGCTAATGAGAGAGCTTGGCTGAAGATCCTTGGCTCCTGGTAGAGGTCTTTTCTCTCCTCTGCTCTCTCCTGGGAAGGAAAAAAAGAAACAGTGTAGGAATGTAAATGTACAGGGATGCTAAAAGTAAAGTGGGTAACTCATTTTTTGTAGAGCTATGCATATCACCCTTAATTAGGCCAGAAGTGTCTGCTCACCTTGGTGGCACTCCAGGGGTTGAAGGTGATACAGTCTTTCAGACTCTCTGTAGTAATTATAATTTTTCTGAGATTAGGCTTTTCTGGATTTCAGACTCTCGGGCTTAGCCTGAGAATTTTTTATTTAAATAATCTTTTATTGTCAGAAAGCTTTCACGTGCTACCTTTTAAAAAAAGTTGTTGAAAGACATATTTTCAAATTATCATAGAATCATAGAATTTCTCAGGTTAGAAAAGACCTCAGAGATCATCAAGTCCAACTGCAATCTAACCATACTACCTGAACTGGCAACCCTTCACTAGATCGTGTCCCTGAGCACCACATCCAAGTGGGTTTTAAACATATCCAGAGGTGATGACTTGACCACCTCTCTGGGAAGCCTATTCCAGTGCTTAACAACCCTTTCTGTGAAGAAGTTTTTCCTGATATCCAACTTAAACCTCCCCTGATGCAACTTGAGGCCATTTCCCCTCATCCTGTCACCAGCAAGAATTATGTCTGAACAGGTCTTCTTTACAGACATCAGATTTGTATGCAATAGTAATTGTGTCATAATGCCAGAGAAAGTACCGCTGTGATATATATAAGCATCTTCTACTAAATTTCAAATATTTAGCATTCTATATACTACCATAAATGAAATATAATTTGAGTTCATTAAGGTGTATAAAATTGATAGAATCACAGAATGTTTTCTGTCAGAAGGTATCTCTGGAAGTCATCTGGTCATCTCCTTCTGGTCACAAGTTTCATGCTTCAATTTCTTCTTTGACTGCCTATCTATAGAAAAAACTATGGCCAGTTCATGTTTCAGAACATCTTCCAGAAATTACATAGCGTGGGATTCATCTCAGCTAACTTTTACCATCTATAATATTGAACTCTGCCCTGAACTTGTTCTCTCTGAGCTCTCTTTATCGTCAGTGCAAATAAATAGGTATTTTTGGGACAGGGCTTGTGTTGATGTACATTAGATATTGATTGTGGTCTGAAATGACTCATGTTGGAGAAATTATTCTCTGGATAATATCAAAGGAGATTAGGTTACTCCCTCAGATAGACATCCAGTCCTTGTCACATCACTAGTCTCTATGGAGCAACATGACATACCTTTCACATCTTTTATCAACTTTCTTGCCCATTTCTGGGTGCTTTCAAGGACCTGAACATTGTTTTTGAATTGCAGTGACCAGATCTGCATGCAGTAATCAAGATGTGGCTGCTGTAGGGCTAAATACAGTGGGAGGATCAGCTCTTCTGACTGAATTTCTGTGCTGTGTTTGATGCATCCCAAAATGTGGTTTGTGGCTACCAAGGCCATGTTGAATCTACTGTCACCAGCATGCACTGAGATCTCTTTCTTCTAAGCTACTCCCCAGCCACTCATCTTCTGGTCTGTACCTGTGTCAGGCATTGATTGCTTCATCCCAGTTTCGGAACCTGGCATTTACCTTTGTTGAACTTGGTGCTGTTGATCATGGCCCAGTGCTCCCAGCTATCTTGATCCCTCTACAAGGTCTCTCATTCCTCTGGAGAATCAGCAGCATCTCCCCAATTTGTTTCCAAGTTCTTATTTATGCCCATGTTATGCTAACTTGTAAACTGTAGTTTTGGCCCAGTTAAACTGCATGTGTTGTTGGTCCATCTGATGTAGAAGAACTGAAATCGACTTGAAGGCTTTTCGTGTTTATTTATTTAGCTGAAGGTTATGTGGTTTCAAAATGGCATCCGTAGAAATCTGTGCTCGTTTGTGCTCTAGAAGGAGGATATTTGCACCCTGAACATCATGCCTCACAACTTACATCATGCAAACAAACAGTGTGGCAACAGTTGTAAGTTTCATAGCTAAAACTTGTCAGATTTCCCATCACACTGTTGTACAGGACTTTGTTCCTGTGTGCTACCTGATTGTTGTCTGTGTTATAGCAGTCTTTGTTTGTTAGAGGCAAGTGGCTGTGCTCCTTTCTTTCCAAGCAGACAGAGTTCGCAGTACAGAGAGCTTTTACCCAAAAAACTAGGTAAGACTTTAGCTGTGAATCTTTGTCATTAAATGATAATGAAACTCAGTGCTCTTGGGATCTCTCCCATTGTTTCCCACTCCTTCTCTCTGAGTTCTGATTTGTAAAGAGAATCTGTCAAGGAAGCCCTGATCCTCATCAGCACAAAGTGTCACCTTTTGTATTGCTGTCTGCTAGATTTATACCAGGGAACCTTGTGGAATCTGTTCTCATATCTTCATGGTAAATAATTTTTTCACTTCTCATGAAATGAACGATGACTTGTTTTCATTTGGAGATTGTGAATGTAAGATTTAAATTCAAACTACAGAAAATGAAGTAGGAAAGATGACTAAGTAAAACTACTTCAGAGATAGACAACCTTTATTGTTATCTGGAGTCTGACATGAAATATTGTGCTTTGTTAGCACTCATTTTTGTATTTATATTTTTTACCTATAGCTAGATAACTGCTCAGACTCTCGTCCAGACTGACCTTGAGTGTCTCCAGATGGCATTCACCACCTCTCTGGGCAACCTGATAGATAATAACCTACCTTTCAAAGTAAAACCTAAAGTAACAGCCAATGCTCTCCTGTTTTTTTGGTCTAGCAACAAGGAAGGAATGTTGTTAAATTGAAATGCTGGATGAGAGGAAAGTTCTGCCAAGAGACAGTCAAGTTGAAGATGGACAGAATGCGTTGGGGACTCTACAACGCAGATATAAATGCAAAGGTTGTAAAAAAAAAAATAATTTCTATATATATACACTCACAGGGTGTTTAAAAAAATATGACATTAAGTAGTAAAGCAGAGTACCCTGCTGTAATTAGAGAAATAGAAATGTATGTAAAAAAGGAGAAAATTACACAAGTCCATTACTCAGTGTAAGTTCATGAATGTAAAGTATCTAGTAGGTTCTACTGTAGAGAGATCTTTATGGTACAATTTACTTTTCAAAACTCATTCCATTTTATTTTGATAAATATTCTTGGTATGTGAACACCCTTCTGTTTTTCCAGAAACCTTCCTAAAATGTTGAAAATAAAAAGCTTGAACATGCAGCTAAATTGCTTGTAGGAATTCTTTTGGGGTTGAAACTTGATATCTACATTCTTAATGTAATAAATTACTTAATGTCTTTTGTTCTACAATATGAACAGAAAAATATAAAAAAAACACACACAAAAATCCCCAAGAAAACAGAACGAAAAGCGCAGACCATAAAAGAAGAAAGGAAGTAAACAGAAAATAATAAATCTGAATTATTTATTGAAAATCTGTCAGTTGATTGTCCAACATACAGAGCATATTATCAATAGATCTGATCTATTATTATATCTCATATCACTGTGAGAATGTAGGAATCCATGATCATCAGAAGAGATTTTATGTCCTGAAAAAAATAACATATTCTACAATACTGAAGGAAAATATGGAGTATTACAAAATCTGATGATAAAAATGCTACTTGTTATTTTAAAAAGGGTTTTTGGCAGTTGGTATTTCTAAGAGAAGGTGATTCATTTTTCTCTACGGGAGTTAGAGTGGCTTTCCAATATGATAATGTCTGATTTTTTTCCTCCTGTGGTTTCTGTAAAAAGCTATAGGTCAGTTCTTGTAGTGGAGAGGCAACATTGGTCTGCGATTTTTTTTTTTTGTATGTGCAATTAAAAAGTCTTAAGTTTGTTTTAGTTGAGAATCTCAAGAACAAAGTTATTAAATCAGGAATTGTGAAGCAGCATGAGGACTGAGGTCTCAAACTCTTGAGGTTGTGATGTCATCAGAATTATTTGAGGCCATATCTATTATGCTGCTGCTTAGGGCTTGAGGCATTGTTTTCAAATAATGTGTAGTGGAGGTGTTGTTTGCAAATGTCGTGGTGGTATTCATTAAGTGGTTGACAAAACTGTGGTAATAATGTCATCAAAGCTCATAGGCCAAAATTGTACTCTGACTTTGGCAGGTTCTCTTTTTAGATGCCTGCTTGAATTATGCTAGATGGGACTTTGTGAGTTATTGAGTGTTTGAGTTTATTAACTATATGCTTGGGTTATTTTTCAGAAATACTGATCACCTATAAGTTTCTGTGAAGGATGCAGCTCTGCAAGTGATGGGGAAACAGCATATTCTCTGAAAGGAAGCCCACAGCAGAAAGAAAACGAACTGTTCTCTGCCAGAAAATTGAACAGCATGCAGAAAGCTCGTGCAAACAAGAATTACTGCAAATATGGGGACAGATGGGCTTGGAAACATGTCCTTAAACTGTCATCCAGAGGGAAAAAGAAATAAACAAAAAAACCCAACAACCTTAACTTGGAGTGCATGTGATTGGGAATGGGAGATTATCGGAGATTTCATGGCTGATATGTTTGTTTTTGGAAAAAGAAAAACTTTAAGCTGTAATTCCTTTTTTTTCCTGTTAGCTCATTGAATTTTTCTTGAACTGCTTGAGCCGAACACAAAGATTTCCCAATTTTTCATTCTACGTGCAGGATACATATCTCATACTTACAATTCTCTTCATCTGGGAGTGACTGGTTGAGAGGAAATTCAATTTCAAAGAGCCATTGACCATCTCTGAATGTAAGCTTTATATCTGCCATTCAGTTACACGCCTCTCCCAGGTATCTACTTGGACAACCCAAGATGCACTGTAGAATATGGCATCTTTTATTCTTGCGATTACCCTTAGCTCTTATCCCATGCATTTTGATACCATCCCCAGTCTGTGGTGGAGTATCTATAGGAATTCCTGCCAGATAGCAATATATAACAAAAGCAACATACTGTTGTGTATGTATATTATGCCATTATGCAACCATTGTGCATAGTTTGTTTGCAAAAAAGCAGTGCACTACAGAACCAAATCCATTAGTGTTTATACTATAATGAAAACAATAGCAAATTTTAAATAAAAAGCAAACAAATAGAAGATGAAAACAAGAGCAAAAAACCCTAAACAATAAAGAGGAAGGGCAAAAAGAATGTTCTTCTGCATTTCCAGGAATTGGGTATGGGTATGAACTGAGCTGAGGCTAGTTCCTGCTGTAGAGCCCATGTTAGTTTTGGCAATAAATAATAGATGTCACTGCTCAGCAAGAACTCATTGACAGTACCTTCTTAGTACTTGATGATGATGAAAACCCAATTTTCTATACTGGAAAAAGATGCTGTTAAGATAGAGATGAAGATATCTTAATAAGTTAAAGTATCTGAGGGCCGAGAGCCAGAAAGGTAATTTCTTATGCTCAGAGCTATACTGTGTGATAGGAGGAAAAAAGAGTGAGAAGCTGCTTTGTGTGAGGGGTATCAAAGGTGCCTTTAGGAGTCATGTTACTTCTTCATATCAGAAGCATCTGCAGAGTGGCAAGCAAATCCATGGCCCATTCCTGGCTCTTTACTTTATGTGCCTCATAAGAGGCAAAGATGCAGAAGACGCTGCAAAGGTAGAGAGGGAGTTATACCTGCCTTACTTGGTAATAAGACCAGTTGGAAATCCTGTGATGGCATTGGTGGGGAAGAACGAGTTGTTAGAGGCTGGGAGATATGAGCTATGGTATTTGATTTGGTGCTGTGTGTGCAGAAAGTACTGAGGGTTACCAGTACAGTTCAGTGCTAAGGCTTCTGACACTGCTTCATGTGTCATTTATCAGGCTCTTTTCTCAGGCTCGCACAAAGTTTTTTGCTCCTTTTTCTATTACTAAGACGGTTAAATTGAAGGCCAGAACACCTTACATACAAACAGAGCTTTCCTGTGTGTTGGCAAAGCCATAATTAGGACTGGGAGCCGTAGGCAGGTTCCACTACTACAATGAACTAGTTGAGTCTCTCCTGCAGCTGAGGGATTTGTGCACCACAACACAGCCTAATGGTCAAACTGTCTGCAGTGTAATTCAGCACAGCACAGGCTTGTGGCTACTGTAGGTGGATCACTAACTCCTTGATGTACAGTCAGCATCACAGCATTCCACCCCTTGATCCTCATACAGCTTGTCTTTCTCAAAGTTGTTGTAAATTGCAGATTATATTGCTAGAATAAGGACTTTTAAAACACTCAGCACAAGGCCTGTATGAGACCCAGTGGAGGAGACATGGCCTATTCAAGATCATTCCACAAAACCAGTCTTTTCTACAAAGCTCCCAATACAGACTACGGACTTTCAAGAAGTCACAAACAGATATCTCTTCAACACTTCTGCCTCAGGATGACTGTGGACTCAGGATGCCTCAGGATGACTTCTGCCTCAGGATGACAGTGGACTGCCCTAGGGCTCACAGATTTTCAGAAAGGTGGCCATTCTTTTCTAGAATTCTAAGAAGCACTGACAATAGATCTCTCATCCCTGATGGCAACCATAAAGCAGCAACCTTCTGTTATTTCACTGGCTTCAGCTTCTGCAGCAGCAGCTCTTGTGTCTCCATGCTGATGGACAGTGTGATTTCCTCTGCACCCCATGCAGAAATGCTCTAGGTATCTAGGGCTGGAAAGGTTGTTTCTAACATCAGGAAAGGCAGCAGTGGTAAAGGAAAGGGTTTAGAAGAGATGTTTGAAGAAACAAAGGCTTTAAAATAGGACTGGGAGAAAAAAGTGCAGCATATGGAAAGGCCATTGAGGCAGGAGAAAGGTGAGGTAGAAGAGTGAATAAGTCAACAAGACCTGATTGCTGGTGGCTCACAGGAAGTACAAGGGTACAGGTGTCATTGCATGTTTATACAGCAAGACAAGCAAATCAGTTTGCTTTGGAACAGAGCTGTTGGTGTTTTGAGAACTTTCTATTAAAGCACATCAGTGGCCTTACTGATAAATTAACTTGTATATTGTAGGAGGTAATTGCTCATGATATGAACACAGAACAAATCATCTGGCTTTATTTCCTCTACGTGATACCTTGTCTGCACACACCAAGCCGCTCTGAAATTTGCATCAGTGTGCAAAGTGTGGGAGTGATGGCTTTTTTTAAAACAGCTCAGCACTGCCCTGCATTAAAATGCTGATGCAGCCACAGCTCGTTTGCCTCGGAAGGGACTTACAGCTGTCTTTCCACACTGCACAGCAACTGAGAGGAGACAAAGGGCTGTAGACTTCAGTTAGAATCCGTGGCAGCAGCTACATTGTACTTTTTAAGTTCTTAGAAAACAGTGTGCAAAGTTTTTCTCATGGGACAGAGGGTATAAAGTGCCATGACCATAGGACTGATTTGCTCCATATTTTTCATCTCAAAAATCCATCTTTGACAAGTGTATGTTTTCTATAAATGATTTTGTGTCAGGGTTTAAATGCTGTGATTTAAAGAAGCACAATTTTATTCTTCGTATTCGTTCTTACATATAAATTATATTTTAATAAAAATGGTCTGCATTTTCACATAAGGCTTCACCTTATGACATCTTAGATGTTTTAGTCAAGCATATATTTCATGTTAACAGTATGGGATAGGGAAACAAGTGAAGCTATCTCCTTTGCAAAAAATGAGAGAACTCTTTTATAGGTATCTCATAGTTTTACGAAGAGGGCTTCATATCTAATCAGATCAAAACCTTTATTCAGAATAACTGAATTAATTTACCAGAGACCTGAATTTTGAAGTAAGAAGAATAATCATGGGTGTAATGTGTACACTTTGACACTGTTGAGGGGAGTGTTTATCCTATTTTTAAATGTTTGTTTTGTCTTTTTTGCTTGTTCTTTATAATGAAGACATTTATTCTAAAAAGAAATATTTTCTCCAGATGGACCTCATCCACCACAGTCCACTTCCAAAACTGCTGGCTTTGTCTATAAGTTGCAAACATACCTTTTATTGAAAACCCACAATAATTTATCTTATAATCTGTTTTTTTTTTTTTTCCCCAGAAAACTTATATTATTTCTCAGAAAACAATCCCATTATTGTCTAAAAGCACAATATCTCTTCAAATGTCTTAATTCTGTTTTTCATCAATAGATTGTTCTCCTGGGAAAGCTACTCGCAGAAGAAAAAACTGCACTGATTCAATGAAACTGTTAATGGAAGTGCAGTTTTACAGCTGGAGATCTCAAAAGTGGCAGGGTGAGTAGGAAGAGCGCTATACTTTTTCCCCAGGTTAAACTCTGTACCTCTGATATATGATGCATCAAATAACTGTTCAATAATTTTTATTCCCATATGCCTTTTTTGAGAAGCAGGGCTGAGGAAAATAGTCCCTTGCTTGAACTATTACTTACTATTGCTTACTATTAAATTTGAATAGGATGTAATGTCCATGGAAGTGGAAAGTGGAGAATGAGGTAGATTCTCTCTACTATGGCACTAAACAGTGCAATAGAACATGAACTTTTGAACATTATCTCTGAAACCAGCCACGCATTTTTTTTTCATCTGTTTTCTGCATAATCCATGTACATTTTCTGCATGTATGCAAGATTTGCAGTTATTTGTTGACAGCCAGCTGAACATGAGCCAGCAGTGTGCCCAGATAGCCAAGAAGGGCAATGGCATTCTGGCTTTTGTCAGAAATAGAGTTGCCTGGAGGAGCAGGGAAGTGATCATCCCTCTGTACTCAGCTCAGTATTTGAGGCTGCACCGCAAATACTTCGTTCAGTTTTGGGAGCCTCACTGCAAGAAAGACATTGAGGCCCTGGAGTGTGTCTGGAGAAAGGCAATAAACTTTGAAAGGTCTGGAGCACAGGTCGTAGGGGGAGTGGCTGAGGGAGCTAGATTGTTCAGTCTGGACAAAGGAGGCTTGGAGGAGACCTTATTACTCTCTACAAATTCCTGAAAGGAGGTTGTGGTGAGGTACTCTTCTACCAGGTACCTGGATAGGATGAGAAAAAATGGCCTGAAGTTGTGTCAGGGTAGGTTCAGATTGGATATTATGAAAAATTTCTTCTCCAAAAGAGTGGTGAGGCAGTGACACAGGCTGCCCAGGGAGGTAGTGGAGTCACCATCTTTGGAGGTGCTCAAGGAATGTGCACATGTGGCACTGAGGGACATGGTTAGTGAGCATGGTGACGGTGGGTTGACAGTTAGACTAGATGATCTAGGTTTTTTTTCCAACTGTAATGATTTCATGACTTATCTTAGTCTATTTTAGTGGATTTTAAACTGCACACTAATGAATTCTTTCCTTTGAAAGGTCTTTTTTAAGAATAGAGAAGCAAGAGCTACTGATAAGGATAGGAGTGACTTGACCTGTCTCCAGATGGAACTCAATTAATTCACAACTGAAATGATATAGCACAGTTGTTTGTGGTAACTGGGTGAAAAGGAGGTAAGAATTTCACATCAGTAAGCTGTGGCCCTTGAGAAATTTATTTTAAGTTGGTTTTAGAGAGTGGAAATTTTTAGCACATGTTTATGTGTTGCTACCCTAACCTGTAGA